TAAAAATCTATAAAAGTTATGAAGTGGAGGAGAGAGTTCACTGAACAAGTCATCATGTAGAACAAACAGCAGAATTGGAGCTTTGGGAACTTAAACAACAGGATCTTTAGAGAGTACCTCCAAGTATGTTTAAGACAGTCAGAGATATAAAGAATCAAAATGTACAGGAACAAAACACTATGGAAAATAAGACGGATTTTTTTTAAAGGAACAGGGAAATTCTACAAACGTGTAAAATACAATTATTAACAGTGAACAGCAAATTTGACACAGCTGAGAGAATCACTTAACCCAAAGTAGATCAAGAAAAATTAGGAGGTTTGAACACAGAAAGTGATGGCAAATAACTGAAGGCAGAGAGTGAATATGGGAGGTGATTTGAAAATGCCCAGCATACATGTAGTAGAAAAAGGTAGGAGGAAATACCGGAAGAGGAGATAACCCAAGAGTGTCAGAGTTGGTGAAAGGCAGAAGAATTTTATTTTATTTATTTGTTTATTTGTTTATTCATTCCTCACCTGAGGATATTTTTCCATTTATCATCAGAGTGAGAGGGAAGGAGGGAGGGAAAGAGACACACAGAGAGCCACATCCACTGGTTGCCTCCCGCACAACCCGACCAGGGCTGGGGATGAACCGCAACCGAGGAACGTGCCCTTGACTGGACTCGAACCCATGACTCATTGGTCCGAGGGCCGACTGACTCTCTAACCACTGAGCCAAACTGGCCAAGGCGGCAAGAGAATTTTAAGGTCACTGTTATAAGAATATGAATAAAATGTGTAACTCCACTGTAATGAAAGAACTGCAGTGTAACGGAATAATAGCCCATTAGAAGGTGAAAACAAGCATAGAGGAAGTAATTAAAGTAGAAAATGCAAAATATGGTAGAAGTTAATCCAAATAGCAATATAAAACAGTATAACCTGAAAACGAAATTTACCCATCAAAGGTGATCAGACTCAATTTTTTTAAGCGAATTTTCCTTAAACATTGAGACAGAAGTTAAAAGTAAGGAGATAGAATATAAATATTTGAGGAAAATTCTAACCAAAATATACAAATAACTAAATTAACATTATAGATTTCTAAGGCACTATTGTTAGGCGTAAACAGTTATTTGTAATAAAAAGAATAGCCCTGGCTGGTTTGGTTTAGCGGTTCAAGTGTTGGCCCATGGACCAGAGTCGTGGGTTCAATTCCAGTCAAGGGCACGTACCTCGGTTGTGGTTCGGTTCCTGGCCCTGGTCAGAGTCGTGCAGGAGGCAACCAGTTGATGCGTCTCTTTCACATCAATGTCTATCTGTCTGTCTCTTTCTCTCTCCCTTCCACCCTGTCTGAAAATAAATGGAAAAATGTCCTCAAGTGAGGATTTAAAAAAAAAGACAGGTCACCAGGGATATGATTTCAAATTTGTGTACTTGTTAATAGAGCCTCCAAATATATGACAGATATGGTAGAGAATATTAGAGAAATTGACAAGTTCATAATTAGGGAGATTTCAGTAAAAATTTTTCAGTAATTAATAAACAGACAAGTCATCATCAATATGGAAGATTTGAAAAGCAGAACTGGCCAGCTTGCTCCAACGGGTCCCAGCAGACAGAGCACGCTGCTCTCAAGCACGTGCAAAAAAAGTCACGTTCAGCTCTAAGTCTCATCACATTTTAAAGAAACTATTAAAAGGATAACATTCTCTGGTTAAGCTTAACGTGAAATTAACAGTTTAGAAAGAACAAAGCAAAGATATTATACAGCTAGCTAAGCAACCAAAACAAGGATGTAAAGAAAGAAATGAAAAAGAACAAATAAAAAAAAGATACCGTGATGGAAATTAATAAATTCCAAACTGGTTCTTTAAAAGGACTAATTAATAGACAAGCCTCTGGCAAAATTAATTAAAGTATTTCAAATGAAGAAGGCTTTCAAGCAGAAAAAGACAAATACCGCATGATCTCACTTATATATGGAATATAATAAATATAACAGTCTGAGAAGTAGGGTAGACCCAGAAACACGGAGGTAGGGTACAGACTGACAACCGTCAGAAAAGGGGGTGATGGGGGGTGGGAAGAGATAAACCACAGAACTTCTATGCATGTATGCATAACCAATGGACATGGACAACAAAGCCAGGGATGGGGTGGGGGGATGGGGAGGAGGTTGTCAATGGGGTAAAAAAGGAGAAGCATCTGTAACAAAAATAACATTAAAAAAATAAGGCTTTTTTTTTTTTAAGAGAAGATTTAACAGTTGGACAGTATACTTGAAAACTTCATTGAAATGCACAGTTTTCAAGACCTAGCACTACATATAGTGGGAAATGATAAACCATATAATACACAGTGTGTGGTCCATCACTCATCCTCACATACAGTTGTACTCAAGGTGGATTAGGAACCTCAGTGTGCAAATCTGATTTAAAAGAAAGTGGAATCAGCCCTCAGACCAATGAGTTGCAGGTTCAGTTCCAGTCAAGGGCATGTACCTTGGTTGCGGTTTGTTACCAGCCCTGGTTGGGTCGTACTGGAGGCAACCAGTCAATGTGTCCCCCTCACATTGATGTTTCTCTCTCTCCCCTTTCTCCCTGTCTCCCCGCCACACACACACTCTATCTGATGATAAATAGAAAAATATCCTCGGGTGAGGATTAAAAAAAACAGGAAGTGGAATCATACGAAAAATTGGAACCCGCCAAATGATCATTAAGCAGTCTGGCAACAAGAGAATGGATAAATTACTGTATACCTGTACTGTATAGTATATTTCATACAGCAGCAGCTGTCATATCTCAACAGAAACAAATGGCAGGCACAAGTGTGCATGTTACAACCTGTGTAATCTGAAGTTTGAAAACAAGATAATTTCATATGTCGTTACAGAGTAAAATAGAAGAATGTCCATAGGAGTGATAGACACCAAATTATGGGGACCTTTGCCCCCAGTGACAGTGGAAGGAGGAGTGGATTAGGGAGCAGAGCGTAGTGATAATTTCAGTTGTAATCTGTACCGCGTCATTTCCGACAATGTGAGGAGGGATTCGGATGGAATAAGATAAGAGTGGGAAATAGATTTTTTCCAGGTTGGGTCATGAGTTTCGTTGTGTATTACAATCTGAATCTCTCAGCATTTGAAAGATTGAATAAAAGTATTCATTGTTTTAAGGCATAGTTCTTTGATTACTACTAAGGTTGAGGAATTCGGTGGGGTTTTGGCCACTGATACATATTTCTTTTAGCTTTTAGATTTCCTGTTGGAATACTTTGCCTATGTTTCTGTAAAGATTAACTTTTTATATTGTTTTAAATTACCGCAATTTGCCTTGGCCGTTTTGGCTCAGTAGTTAGAGCATCAGCCCAGGGACCGAAGGGTCAAGGGTTCAATTCCCAGTCAGTCATGTACCTGTGTTGCATGTTTGATCCCTGGCTCTGGTCAGGGCTGTGCAGGAGGCAGACAATCCATGTGTCTTTCACATCAATGTCTCTTTCTCTTTTTCTCTCTCTCTCTCTCTCTCTTTCCCTCTCCTCTCCCCCATCCCTTCCTTCCACTCTATCAATAAGTAAGTAAATAAATGAATGAATAAATAAATAAAATTACCTTAATTTATTAAAGGTAGTAATTCTTTTGTTTAAGCTATTTTTTACTAAAAATTTTTCACAATTTCAGGTTATTTACAACTTTGCTTAGAAAAACAGTCTCCAAACAGCTCAGGAAAATATTCGCATATTCGCATGTATTTTCTTTGTTTTATGGTTTCAGTTTGTATATTTTCTTCATCTATATTTTGGAATATGGATTTTTTTTTTTTTTTAAATCTCCTCTTACCATAATGTCATTTATTGAATAATCTATCTTTACCCACTGGCTGGAAATATCTCTATACAGTAAGTTCTTAAAATATACCAGAATATTCTGTTTTACTGATATTTCTTTGTCTGAATCAGTATCAGCGTCTATTAATTGTATCCAAGTAGAATACATGCCAATGCACTAAAACAGTACTAAAGGTTAAAACCAAACAGAGGATTCTCTGACTCTCTCACCCCCATTCTCTTGGCTGCCCCTCCCCAGAGGCAGCTGTTTTAGACGTTGGCTGTTTCTTCTGCTTCTGTGTTTGTTTTCAGCACATCTCCATAATTCTCAATAGTGCGTGTGTACTGCTCTTGTGGTTAATCATTGTGCACACCTGTGACTTCAGTGTTGGAATAAGAGGATTTGTGTACCATCTCTTCTGCTTTTTGTCCTTCAGCCTCAAAGTGTAGCTTTGGTTTTTTTGTATTTTTTTTAATCCTCATCCAAGGATATTTTTTCTATTTATCTTCAAATAGAGTGGGAGGGAAAGAAAGGAAGAAAGAGAGAAACATGGACGTGAGAGAGACACATCGACTGGTTGCCTCCTGCAAGACCCTGACCAGGACCAGGGACGAACCGCAACCAAGGTACGTGCCCTTGGCTGGAATCGAACCTGAGACTCATTGGTCCGCGGGCTGTCGCTCAATTGCTGAGCCAAACCAGCAAGGACAAAGTGTAGCTTTGTTTAAATTCACTTATAAATAATTTTAAAGTAAAGTTTTGGTTATTTTGATATTTATAATATATGCTTCTGGAAATATAATTAAGCATCATAATAGACTGATTATTAACTGTGTGTTTTTACGGAGGTAGATAATTGCGACTTTTCCTTTGTACGCTCAAGACCGTTTTCTCTGAGCAAGTCTCATTAGGCAATCCAGAAGGACCAATGTTTTCTCGGTGACCTTCCTCCTGACGCATCCCTCCTCCTCCTGAAAAGGCCTGCGGACAAGCCTGTGATGGGGCTGGTTCACTTTCAGCTTTGTCGGGATGTGAATAATGGGATCTCTTCTCTACTCTAGTTTTCAACAGGTTCTGTTGCTACATTGGAAATATACTGATATCGAAATATTTTATAAGAAAATAAATTTGTATTGATCACTGTTCACATCGACGATGCATGTTGATTTCCTTAACTTTTCTCCAAGTCACGTTTATAACTACTGCACGAGTGTCCACCAGTCAAACCAAGCTCGAGGGGCTGGTGTCCCCCCTTCTAAATCGAAAAAGGGGCAGACGCCCGGGGGAGCTCAGTTTGTTGGCTTGGAATTATACAAACGACTTAAAGAATTTTTGAAGAATTACTTGACAAATCTACTTAAGGTAAGATGGTTAACATATATACTGAACATTTGTAATAGAACGTAAAAAAGGTAGTGAGAATATTAAATCTAACTTCATGGCTAAATCTTTCACTGTCGTTTGTTCCTTTTGCTAATTTGTTAAATTAGAAGTTTTTGATGCCCTTACACCATAGTAGTACGTTTTCCTTAAATTGCTAACCATTTTGTGATTTGGTTGTTAGGAATTGATGAACTTTTTAATTTAAAGCATATCATTATAAATTCAAATGACCTATATTGTACTTGGAACCCAGTGTTCTATTCTGAATCAAAATGTACACATGATCGTAAGGTTTTCCAGCCTTTGGTAATCACATTTTTCCAATGTGAATCTTGCCTTTCACACGATCATGTAGTATATCTCAGAACTATGATGGAATTGTGTGCTCGGCTAGGGTAGGTTTCAGTAGACACCCATTGCCTTCAAGTGTGGGTTCCTCCTGCTCCGAGCCTCTTGCTTGGGCATCGATGGAGTTTTTCCCCTTCATCTTCTGCCTCTTTCTTCCCCAGTCTCCATCCTCTATAGCAAAGGCAGTGTGATGCCTTCCATCCAGCCCCAGGATGGTGATTCCTGCATCTGGTGCTACACGTATTACATAGCGTGAGTGAAGACACCTCTACTCTCTCCTTGGGAATTGGCATTCTGTGTATATATTTTTAAAGATTTTCTATTTACACAGATGATAGGCAAAAGTTTTAGCATACTCCAAAATTGTTTTCTTTTTTTACAAAATATATTTTACAAGCAAACATTGGAAACTTTCAAACATTATAACAGACTAGTCAGTTGACCACAGGTTATGACTTAAGATAGTATCCTTTTCAAGTTCCCGGAACTGTTACTAAAGCCCGAAGCCCGTGTCCTGATTTTTATTCACACCACTTTGTAAAGTGAACACTGGAATTATTCTTTACACTAAAGAGCCGTATTTTGTGTTGTGTAGAAATATTCATAGCCATGCTGTCAGTGAGGTTTTCACCCTTTAAAAAAGGTCATATACTGCGATCCAGAATAGCTTAGCTTTACATTTCATTTCTTATTTAATTAAAATGAACAAAAGCATGTTTGTATCATGGTGTGATCAGGTGTTCATAGGGCTGTTGGGTGGCTCTGGACCACCCACCGTGGGGCTGCTTCCTGCGAGGACCCTGAGCCAGAGAGCAGTTCCCGGCCCCGCCCAGGCCCCGCCCGTGTTCACCTTCCAGGGCCCCTTTGGCTTCCCCTCGTGTTCGGGGGGCCGCACATCTCCGCGATTCGGCCTTGTCGTGCTCGTGGTTAAAGGCTGACACTCTAGGTGTCACTGATGCCTAGGAAAAAATTCCTTAGTTTTCTTCAAATAAAATTTTGTGGCTTAAATTGCAGACATCTTAGTCAAAATAATTGTGTTTAATGCAGTTTCTTCATGAAGTTTTGTTAAAGAAGAAATAGTCTACTGTTAGACTTACTTTTATAAAAATGTAACAGATTGACACAAAAAGCTTTAAATTTTTATAATTTTTGAGTAAATCAAATGAAGGAGGAAGATGAATTTTAAAAATAAATGGTATTGGCCCATGGTCTAAATTGCAAACAGGACATGTTAATTTTTTTTTACAGAAAATATCGTAAGGATGATTTTGAGGTGAATTCCTATTTGTTAACAAAAAGAAATTACCCTCATACTCTAAAATTCAAGGTTCTTTTTATGAGTGTATGTGCATATTTTACACCATGAAAAAAGTGCCAGTTTGGGATGAAAGACTTTTTAATAAAATTCTCTCTTTAGTTCTCATGAGCTATATCCTTGTGAGAATTCAAATTAATGAGCATGTTTTTTGTATACAAACTAATTTAAATAACCCATGTAGAACCATATCGATCAGTGCGTTTTAATGCAATAGGTTTGTTGTAGTTCGCTTTTATCGTGTGACACAGTAGCCACCTTTAACGCTGTGTTCCCTTGTTTTCAGGATGGAGAAGACTTGATGGACGAGAGTGTGCTGAAGTTCTACACGCAGCAGTGGGAAGATTACCGGTTCTCCAGCAAAGTCCTGAATGGAATTTGTGCCTACCTCAACAGACATTGGGTTCGTCGTGAATGCGACGAAGGGCGAAAAGGAATATACGAAATCTATTCTGTAAGACTCCTTAGAACACCTTTCAGATGTGTGTTTGCTTAGTGATGCATCATCTTTTCAGTTAGAGGATCTAGGCAAATGCTATGCTATTTTCAGACTAGTAGGCTAATTTCCCTTGTTTTAATTTAGCAATTAATTGCCCTTGATTTGTGGCAAGAAGGGAGAGGGTAAGTTGGAATTCTAAAAGTCACCCTGCACACTGCTGCATTTGCTTGTTAAAAGTTTCTTCTTAAGTGCGGACCGGAGAGTCCTGGCCTCGGTTTCCGCTAAGGGCACGTACCTTGGTTGCAGTTTGTCCCCGGCCCCAGTTGGGGTCGTGTGGGTGGCAACCAGTCGATGTGTCTCTCTCACATCGATGTTTCTCTTTCTCTCTTCCTCCTTCTCTCCCTCCTGCTCTATCTGAAGATAAATGCAAAAATGTCCTCAGGTGAAGGTAAAAAAAAAAGTTTCTTCTTTATTTGACCCCCCAACAGGTTTCGCCTGAACCCGCCCCGTTTGGCACTCAGAGCCCGAGTCCCGGCGTCAGGCCCACTGGGGCCCTTGCCTGACGTTCGGGACGCCAGGGTGGGGTTTCTGGGAAACTGCTTCTCTAAGACACTCTGACCCCTCTCCCCACTTCACACAGTAACATGACGTCCAGAACAGTAGTTGTAGTTTAAAGTTGAGGGTTTGGGGTTTTTTTCAAAGACTGCATGGAAATAGATTTTGAAAAGGTGAAATAATATGTTTCTTCAGTCAGGAAGGGTTTTGCTAGGCCCACTGGTTTTCAAAGTGTGGACCCCAGACCTGCCGCAGCCGCTCACCTGGGCACTTGCTAGAAGAGCTCGTTATGGGGCCTCAGCCAAGACTTAGATCAAACTCTGGAGGTGGGCCGGAAGTCTGGCCGTCACAGAGCCTGCTGGGTCAGGGCTCGGATGTGCGCTGTGTGTGCCTCCCCCTTCTTCGCATTTCCACACGCTCCCCAGTGCAGGGTTTGGGCGGCTTCCCCTTGGAAGCCTGCCTGACCTACAGCACCACGTCTGCCTCAGTCCTAAAAGCCATTTTCCTATTATAGTCAGTAGCAGATAGAGAAAATATAAAGTGCAAATATACATTATAGTAAGTGTCTTAAGAGTCAACTACTTTTTAAAAAATTACTTTCAAAATGCATACTTAATACATTCTTAAATCCTGTAGTTACTGTTTGGAAATACAGTATGCAGCCATAAGTTTTTAGCAGACTAGAAGCAGCATCCCTGGGCGTGCTCAGGTGTCAGTGGCACAGTGAAGGTCCTTGAACAGTAACCTCCCATCTTGTCTCCAGAGTCTCCAGAGCATGGGGCTGCTTTGTTACGAAATTCGAAGTTTCGCTTTTTTCTTGATAATGCTTTTTTCCTTTTTAATATAGAAAGTTGTTGGTTTAGTAAACTGTATATGAAGAAAAGTTGGTTTTCTTTCAAGTGAACCATGGACAGCAGTCAGTTTGTTGACATACTAAAGCGACCCCACGAGCATTCTCCCGTCGCCCTCTGAGCTGCTGCTGGTCCCCCTGGTCCTGCTTTCTTAGCTTGCCTGGCTCTTCGTCCTCTGCCCCTTCAAAGCAGCAGGTACCAGAGTCATGCTAGGGCAGTCTAAGGTGGTCGTAATCTAGAGAAAATGTTTGGAAAAGTTAATTTTAAAGGCATAGTCTGTCTTTCCTGGACAGTCACACCCGTCATGTTGCCTTTTCTCCCTGTCCCACTGCTCCCAAGAGGAACACTGGAGTGGGGTTGGTTGTGCATTATTAAAATAAATAAACATCACTTCCAGACTCTTTTTTTTTTCTTTGGTGGAAGTACCACTCAGGGAAAGTTCAGTATATAAATTAAATTTTACGTAATTCAGAAAACTATGTCTTACATAAGCCCAGTTTTACCTTGGTCGCACTTGCGGAAAAGAAGACCGATAGCACTTACAGACAGGAGTGAGTTTCTCAGCAGTTTCTGTTTGAACTTTAAATTGTTATAAACGTGAATATTATTTTAACCGGATAATACCTCTCAACAAACACTTTAAAAGTCATGCATGCATTAGAACTTGTTTTGGGTGGGAGAGCCTTTTTTATAGTAAATTTCTGATATAATCTCTATGAAAGCTTTAAAAACTTTCAAAAAATTATCTTGCCTTGGCCGGTTTGACTCAGCAGTAGGAGCATTGGTCTGCGGTCCTGAGAGACCCGGGTTCGGTTTCCGCTAAGGGCATGTACCTCGGTTGCAGTTTGTCGCTGGCCCTGGTTGGGTCGTATGGGTGGCAGCCACTCGATGTGTCCCTTTCACGTTGATGTTTCTCTCTCTCTCTCCCTCCCACTCTATCTGAACAAAAACTGGAAAAATGTCCTCGGGTGAGGATAAAAAATTAAAAAATTATCTTCATTAAGTGTGCCAGGTCAAAAATTAAATTTGGCCCACGGAATAATTTTGTAAATTGTGTCCACTGGTGTGCCCTTTAAGCTGATATGTACGTTCCCCTTAAATCCCAATTTTTTTTCACCTTCATTATAAAGTGGGAGCTGATAAACGTCTGTATTTTGATGACTCTTAAAGGTGCTAACTCGGAACAGTGCTCTGATTCCATTGCGATGGCAGATTTCACCAAATTATAATCTAGCAACATTGATCAGCATAATCTGGGATTCTAGCTGTTTCCTATGACTACAGTCTCAGAAAAACATAGTAAAAGTATAGACATTTTATACTTTCCTTTTTTCTTTTCATCCAGCTCGCATTGGTGACTTGGAGAGATTGTCTGTTCAGGCCCTTGAACAAACAGGTACTATTTGTCTGAGTGTGTACTGCGTTCTTTCTGAAACCCCCACAGATTACATTTCTTAGCCACTGTCTTCCTTTCTCCTTTGGAACATTACCAGAGTCGCTCTCATCTTGCATTGTTTAAGAGATATGTAGTAATAGAATACATACTGTAGCCTGTAATCTGCATATATTTTTCCTCTGTCCTTTCTGAAGGTGACCAATGCTGTTTTAAAACTGATTGAAAAGGAAAGAAATGGTGAAACCATCAATACAAGACTGATTAGCGGAGTTGTACAGTCTTACGGTAAACAGTTTTCCTGTAAATTATTCAAAGTTTTCATATCAAATGTCAACTATAACAATTATTTCATTTTTTAAAATATTTTAATATCAAGAATACTATTAGCATAATTCTCTTGAAGTCATTGTGATTCTGTTTGATACTACCCATCATAAAATAGTTTGGTCCTTGTACCTTAAGGAAATTTTGATGTAATAGACATTTGAATTTTTTTCATTTATGGTCTCATGCTGAATTACTGGATATATAATATGACATTGTTGTTAATGGAGCTGAGTTATAACCAGAAATTTTTATCAGCTTGAAAAATTGAGATTGAGAAACCAGTAAAGTAATACAATGTTTTAAAAAGTTGGATAGCATTGTATTTTTTTAAGTTTAAAATTAGTCATTTTTATTATTTCTACACTTTCAGAAAATATGAAAGTTCTTCTAAATAAACTTCATTTTAGCTTTGAAGTATTCCTGGCAATGAGTCATAATTACTTCTTTTTGTATGTCTTAGGTTTTTTAAATTTATTTTATGAAATGGTTTACTTTAATACTGGTAAATAACAGACTTTATGTCCTACCGTTTCAAATTCACCTTTTAAGCATAACTTAAATGACGCTACACCTAAATATATTCTGTAAAATATAACAAAAAATAGGGTAATTGAAATATAGTTCCTATTTCTTTCTAGTGGAATTGGGGCTGAATGAAGATGATGCGTTTGCAAAGGGCCCTACGTTAACAGTGTATAAAGAATCCTTTGAGTCCCAGTTTTTGGCCGACACAGAGAGATTTTATACCAGAGAGAGCACCGAGTTCCTGCAGCAGAACCCCGTCACCGAGTACATGAAGAAGGTAAGCTGGCTGCGGCCTCCAGGGGGCTCCATGAGAAGGCGGTGCCCTCAGGGGGGCCGTCCCTGCGGCGCGTTGCGTGCGGCGCGTTGCGTGCGGCGCGTTGCGTGCGGCGCGTTGCGTGCGGCGCGTTGCGTGCGGCGCGTTGCGTGCGGCGTTGCGTGCGGCGTTGCGTGCGGCGTTGCGTGCGGCGTTGCGTGCGGCGTTGCGTGCGGCGTTGCGTGCGGCGCGTTGCGTGCGGCGCGTTGCGTGCGGCGCTCCTCAGGGGTCCCTGCCCGGGCCGCGCTCCTTGTGTCTGTAGCAGCCGCCCTGTGATTAGATCACCACAGTTCGGTGCATCCTCGCTGCTCTGGGACAGAACCACAATGGTTCGGACTGGCGTGTTTTGCACTGTCTCCTAGAATGTATCTCGACATCTAGTGAGAGCCACTGTCTTACCACGTCAAGAGAAAATAAGTTTTGAACAAGTAGTCTCGAATTTGCAGACTTGAAGCTTTGTTTCTTTGTTTGTTTGTTTTGCTTATAAAATGTCCCCTAGTAATCTGTGGCGCGGGCTGCTAGTCTGTGTGAGAGGAGAGGCCCAGCAGGTCCGCCTGGGCCTGGGTCGGGAGACCCCTCGGAGGAGGCGATGAGGCCGTGGCGGGTCTGGGCCCTCTTTCTTTGCGGATCCAGATATTCTGGATTCACACTCTGAGAAACGGCCAGATTCGGAGTCCGCAGACTTTCTGCCGAGGGCCACACAGTAACTGTTCTGGACTATTTGCGACCTGTGGTCTCCGCGCAGCTGTTCGGCTCCGCCGCTGTGCTGGGAAAGCGGCCACGGCAACATCCACACGGATGGGCGCGGCCGTGTTCCCGTCACCCTGGACCTGGGGCAGGATTCGGCTGACGAGATGTGCGAGGAGGTGTCCAGGGAGTCTGGGCCCGTGGTGCTGCTGCGTGCCCTGCCCTGGGCTCCGTCCCTGGGAGGCCCTGGTCTGCAAGCCAGGTCTGCACACTGAGAAGGAGCTGCGGCTCCCTCTGACCACGGAAAGTCCTGCGCGCCGGTTGCGGTGTTCGGGGTGTACTTCCCGTAGGAGATGGCGGTTATGAGTGGGCCTTAGGAGTTTGAAGTTGAAAGTCCTTGACAAACAAGTTTCTGGTATCTCAAACTCCAACAAAAATTGAACTCTTCAAAAGTATTATACTTGAGTCATACTAGTTCTTTGTGTGTATTTGTGGGTTAAGTTAGCTTTTGTATGCTGCCCTGGAACCTAACTGGCTCGTTCAGAATTTCAGACAGCTGCCTGCAAATGGACTTTTGAAACATAATCTGTTTTGAGTCTTAGCATTGCCTGTTATTTCATTTTAGTTTGGCTGTATAGTTTTCATAACATATCTTTTATTGAACTAGTTATGGTGAGTCTTTAAAATGGTGCATGTTTTACAAGTGGGGCTGTTTGTCTATCAGTCACGGTGCACAGCCCCAGCGGTGGGTGAGCCTGCCTTTTTCACAGACTTCTCGTGGACCGTGGCCCCCAGCTTCCCCCGAGGAGCAGAGTACTATCCTGGTGCGCTGAAATCAGCTCTTTAGGCCAGAATTTACATAAGCAGGGCAGTCGGTTTTTAAAATCAGACAGGAACCAACGACAACTTGAGAACAGAGATTTGTTGGATGTTTTCAACCTGGCGTGGGCCCACCTTCCAGCGAGCAGCACACTTGCTGTCTCCTGGTTTCTTAGAGTAGATGTCTTTCTAGGGGGCTTAGAGGTTTGGTCCAGACTCAACTGGATCTTACCAGGCGTGACTTCATCACATTCAGGAAGTCCTTATGCACAGAATCTGAGCATAAAGTTGGAGGTAATCATGGGAACAGTTCTGCTCTTACTACACGTCACCTTGCATCTCAGAACTGGGCTGTGAGTGTAGTTTTAGAGCCCACTCCACCACTTACCAGGGTGTTGACCTAAACCTTCTGTGTCTCAGATTCTTCATCTGTAAAATGGGAATAATAAGCTATTATACATACATATTTGGCGAAGAGGAAGCATCCTATGTTTGTTATTATACCTGTACATTGATCAGAACCTCTATATATCTGAGCCATGTGCAGCACCATAGGATAAAAGTAACACACTTTATTCAGTAACGTAAGGGGAAATTATGTTTATATTACAGCATGCTATCAGGAAATAGAATACAAAACTCATGAACAATATTGAGATAAAGCATGAACATCAAGAAACACACATTCTGCTTTCAGCAGCCAACTTGGACTACATGTCCAGCTTGGACAAGGGCGTCTCTGTCCCCTTTTCTGTGTTGTCAGGAATCCTGCGTGGAAACGCTGGAGGGTCTCTGGTTCTCTTTCTAAGGAGGCTTCACTGAATGAGCAACCCTAGGCCACATCAGTGTTTACATACCTTGCTGTCTCATGTCGCGGGGACTGATCTGAGCTACAAAAACATCTGTATGACTATTCTAGGTTTCTAATGTCATTAAAAAAAAAAACTTTAAAAATGAAATATGCCTTATTTAAGCGGTTTTCAAATCTTTTTTTTATCTCATGGCATACAGACTAATTACTAAAATACTGCAGCATTCCAAAAAATATGTATTTTGCTCATCTGACAGAAAAAATAAGTATAATTTTGACTCATTCACACCAGAGAGCTATGTTTGTGTTGGTGGTTGTCATTTGTTTATTTGACAGTCTAAGGGAAAAGAGGTCAGTGCCCCTGACTAAATAGTCAGGTATTGCATGTTTTAAAAATTCTTGGAGCACACCAATTGAAAATCGCTGCCTTCCTTAATTTACTTAACTTTTTGTCTGTTTTTTGTTTTTTGCTTTGTTTTTACTGCACACTGATCCTAATACAATTAATAGGGATAGTCTTTAATTGCTTTATTAGGGATAGTCTTTAATTGCTTAATTTTATTTATTCATCTTTAATTTGATCTTGGTAGTCTAATTACTTCCCTGCCAAGTACAGTGACATTCAAGAGCTTGGCTTGAAATCAACAAAGCATGGAAATGGCTGCCCTCCCTGAAACCAGATAGATACCACAATAATATTACACCTAGGACTTGGTTTCTTTACTTGTATATAAAAGAAGTGACTGCTGAGAGCCTTCTGACCGTCACAGTTTCCTTCCCTCTTAGCGGCTGCAGGAAGGGACTGTGGAGCGCCGCCACCTGATAGACCGAGAGGTGGCGAGCCTGTGCCCCAGAGTGAATGAGCCTCCTCTGGGGAGGAGTGAAAGTCTGTTTCAGGAGAAAGCAAAGTTTTGAGAGATGAGTTTTTGCTGCCCAAGGTGATTATGTTCTTCCGGGAAATTATTTAATTTAAAACAGAAAAATTGGTACTTTGGGTTTGGCATGTCCTGTGTTTCATCTGCGTTAGCTCTTGAGGTATCAGACATTAGATAGGAAGCAGCAGGTTCTTAACTTAGACCTTCTGAGTTCAAGCACATAAAAATCAATTGGTGTGCTCCAAGAATTTTTTTGTTTATTTTTTTGTGTTTGGGGTGTTTGTTGTTGTTGTTTTATCCTCACCAAAGAATATTTTCTTGCCCTGGCCGGTTTGGCTCAGCGGTTAGAGCGTCAGCCTGTGGTCCAGAGAGACCCAGGTTCGGTTCCTGCTAAGGGCACGTACCTCGGTTGCAGTTTGTCCCTAGCCCTTTATTGAGTTGTGTGGGTAGCAGCCACTCGATGTGTCCCTTTCACATCAATGTTTCTCTCTCTCTCTTCCTCCCACTCTATTGAACAAAAAATGGAAAAATGTCCTCGGATGAGGATAAAAAATATATATATATATTTTCTCATTGATTTTTCGAGAGAGTGGAAGGGAGGTAGGAGGAAAGAGAGAGGGAGGATCAAACCTGCAACCCAGGTACGTGCCCGTGACCAGGAATTAAACCCATGACCCAATGTTCCTAACCACTGAGCCACACCGGTCAGAGCTCTCTCATTGTTTTTTAAAATAACTGTAATCAGAAAAAAAATATACTTTAACTATCGACTTTTTGGAAAATATAAGATAAACCTATAAGCTTGGGACACTATTACTAAGTATGAATACTAAACCAAATTGGACCAATGCTATAGGTTCTTTGTAACCTGTTCCCCTCCCCCCCCACTAATGATTTGTTATCTTAACGTTATTTTATGTTGTTTATTTTACTGGAAACTGGTATTTCATTAACCACATATGCTATAATTTAACTAATTAGCTCTTATTGGAAACTTCAAGTCTTTTCTATTTCTTTATTTGTAAATCATTTCTTCCTTTTCCTTTCTCATATTTTTATTTGGCTCTACTCATTGATTTTTCAGAGATCATTTTATATTAAGGATATTGACCTTTTGATACATACTACAGATATTTTTCAAGTTTATTTTATTGTTCACAAGTAATTATTTAGAATGTATATATACACATATATATAACTTCTGTAGTTTAAACAATTGGCCCATTGTTATTAATTCTTGAAAGTTGCCAGTTTGTTTTTTTTATTTTATGTTTCCTTGGCTCGTGGATGTTTATTCTTCCAGTTGAATTTTTCCAGATTTCTCCAAAGTTATGCCAAATTTAAAAATCATTTGAAGAGTATTGGCTTTTTTATAATACAAAATATAATTTTTGTCTCTCTTTTTTAGATCACCTGAATGATTTTAGATAGATTATCATTGAAATATCTTTTTTGCTTTAATAATTTAGTGATTCCTCAGTGATACTTTACATCACATATCTTTCTGGTATGATGCATTATAAAATATAAATGACTATTACTAATCTTGCTGGTTTGTTAAATTTTATCTTTTATTTCTTTTCTTTCTTGAAGGGAAATGTAAGAAATTAAGACACATAAGTAATCCAGTAGATTTCAGAGGTGCATATTTAATCACTGGCAAGAGATTGGGCCATAACGTTCTTAAATTTTTTTAAAAATCTAATTACTAATATTTCCATGTGGTCATTTCAGGGATTATATTTCTACTCCAAGTAGCTTTCAGTCAAAAGTAACAGTTCTTGCTGTTCTACACATAGGAAAGGACCCGTAGGATTCTCAAGAGTGTCAGGTAGAAGTATTCCCCCACAAAGGAGAAATGCCACATTCCCAAGGAAGAAAAGTGATCATTATAACCTCATTAAGTCTTAAAGAGAAGTTTGGCCCTAGCTGGTTTGGCTTAGCGGTTCAGAGCATTGGCCTGAAGGGTTTCGGGTTCAATTCTGGGGTCGATCCCAGTTCAGGGCACATACCTGGGTTACAGGATCAGTTGCAGGATCGATCCCTGGTCCTGGTAGGGGTCGTGCGGGAGGCAACCAGTCGATGTGTCTTTCTCACATTAATGTTTTGTGTGCACACTTGCACTCGCACGCTCTCTCTCTCTCCCCCCCTTCCTCCCTCCCTTTCACTCTATCACTCTATCTAAAATCAATGGAAAAATATCCTTGGGTGAGGATTAACCACACCAAAAAAAAAGGAGTTTGTAGGGGAAATGTATATTGCATAGAAAATGGAACACATCGGTGACCCCTTAAATATGATTGGCATTCACCGTAAAACCAAAGAACCTCTCACCCTTTTTTCTTAGATCATATTTTATTAGAGCAGGTGTGAGTTTAATTTGCCATTTTTCATATAACAATTCTTTTTTTTTTTTTTTATCCTCGCCCGAGGACATTTTTCCATTTTTTGTTCAGATAGAGCGGGAAGGAGAGAGAGGAAGAGAGAGAGAGAGAGAGAAACATTGATGTGAGAGAGACACATCGAGTGGCTGCCACCCGCACGACCAACCAGGGCCGGGGACAAACTGCAACTGAGGTACGTGCCCTTAGCGGGAACCGAACCCGGGTCTCTCTGTACCGCAGGCCGATGTTCCAACCGCTGAGCCAAACCGGCCAGGGCCATGTAATAATTCTTATAACATGAATCTAGACTGCTCACTCCAACTCTGTCCCGCAGGCGGAGGCCCGTCTGCTCGAGGAGCAGCGGAGAGTGCAGGTCTACCTTCACGAGAGCACCCAGGACGAGCTGGCGAGGAAGTGCGAGCAGGTGCTCATCGAGAAGCACCTGGAGATTTTCCACACTGAGTTTCAGAACTTGCTGGACGCTGACAAGAACGAAGGTGAGCCACTGCAACTCCAAACCTGGAGGTGTGTGTTACCCTGTGGTTTTGAAGTGGAATTCTTGACTCAGAGTTAACAGCATTGTGAACCATCAGTCAGTTCTTAAAAGAGTTATGTGTGAGTGTCTACCTTGTGTATTGATTTCTGATCTCTGCATAGTGTTTTGGGTATGACTTTGGGGAAGAGTATCTTTTCAGTTGAATTTGAAATATAACTTATTCCAAATGATACCACTTTAGCATTAAATGATATCATCCCTTTTTTTTCTCTTGAATATTTTTCTTCTGGAAATTCATGATGAAAAGGCGATTATTTTGTCTTTTTCTTATCTCGCCCATGTTTTACTGAGATGTGATAAGAGCTCAATAAAAGATTAATTTTGGGATTTGGGATTGTTCTTCTTTGGCCCTCATAAACTAACCATATGCATACATATAATAAATGAGCGATTTGGGGGCCCTTTTGTGACTCATCTGTTTGTATAGTTGAGATGGATATTTGTATCTCTTTAAATTTTTCATTTTTTTACAACAAATTTATGAATGCCTATTATGTACCAGGCATAAATTTCATCTCCGTGTTTAGGAAGCATCAGGTGTTTCCTGATAAAAAGCTTTTTTTTCTCTATTACGTTAGTGGATTCTCAGAGTAAGGGAAAAATAAAACTTTTATAAATGCACGACTTCATTGTTATTGTTAGCTAAATATATATGTTAAATACAAAATATTTTATTGTGATTAAGTAAAAAAACATGGTATTTTTACTTCAGGGTCTCATTCATCTCAGTATAAACACATACTTAGTGGGATGAATATGCAGAGTTTGTCTCAATTCATAAAAGCGGTGCCTCCTTCTTTCAGATTTGGGTCGCATGTATAATCTTGTATCTCGGATCCAGGATGGCCTAGGAGAATTGAAAAAACTTCTAGAAACACACATTCACAATCAGGGTCTTGCAGCAATTGAAAAGTGTGGAGAAGCTGCTTTAAATGTAAGTACCATGTAATTGAAATGCAGTTGGACCTGTCTCCACACATGAACTGCAGGCATGTGCAGTGTGTCTTCATTCACAAATCCAGGTGGTGAGAGTTTCACTAGACTCCCAGAGAGAACCTTATGTGGCTTTTTAAAGGCGGTTCACACCTGTATGGTAAACCCCTCCAGAAACTCTACTCTGGCGGTCTTTAGGCATTAAGAATGTCATTTCTTTATGGATTTTTTTCCCTTTGTATCTTCTCACTATTACATTTTGTACACAGAAGAGTCTTCCATAGAAAGAACAGGCTCTCACATTCACAGGCCCTAGGCTGCGCCTTTTGGAAGCTTTGACCTGAGGGCTGCTCTTTATTTGAGGGTCACGGGGCTGTTTGCCCTGGAAGGGCCCAGACATGTATAGCGTTTCTCATCCACTCACCCCTGCAGGAGATGCATAGGCTGTTCCTGCGAGGTTACCTGTAATTCAAGTAGAAATGTTACATAGGACGTGTCACGTGTTCCTGGGACAGTTAAGTTCTCTTTCGTTTGTTTCTGTTGTGAACTTTAATTCTAACAGTGTTTGGCAGAACTAATGGGGAAAAAAGCTTCTAGAACATAGTGCTTATGTATGCATCAGAGAAGTTTTTATCACTCTGATTTTATCATGGTTAATTATTTTTGACTATACTATCTTCTTTAATTTTTTTTTTTTTTAATCTGTGTGTCCCTGCTGTCTTTGGAAGGTTCCTTTTCCACTTTTAATTAAGGGGGCTGCTGCCCCACCTGTGAATCACTAGGGGATGAATGTGAACCCATTCCTCTAGGTTTAGGAAATAATTAACTTTACACTTACAGGATAGAAGGGAACTGGCTTAGTAAAAAAGGTCTTCCACGTTTTCGTATAAGCTTAAGAAGGGAGTCCCAGGCGGGGGACAGGCAGTGTCACTGTGGAGCCCTCGAGTACAGACAGGACAGCCTGTCCAGGTGCCAGGCCCAGCGCCCAGCGCCCAGCGCCCAGCGCCCAGCTCTGACTGGGGCCTTCCTCAAGCAGCTTTCCTGTCTGTCAGTTTAAGGGAATGGAGTAAGGATAGTGACTAGGGTGTTTGTGAATAAGATGCTTGTAAAGTGCTTATTAATTCCACGTACATCAGTGCTCAGCAGTGATGACTGTAGTTTTTATGGCTGTATACAGTTTTGTTTAATTTTAAAAACTCCTTACATCTTGACAATTCTTATTTTCAAACTTAAGTGTTCCTTTTTTTTTTTATCCTCACCGAGGACATTTTTTCATTTTTTGTTCAGATAGAGTGGGAGGGAGAGAGGGGAAGAGACAGAGAGAGAAACATCGACATGAAAGGGACACATCGAGTGACTGCCACCTGCACAACCCAACCAGGACCAGGGACAAACTGCAACCGAGGTACGTGCCTTGAGTGGAAACCGAACCCGCTTCTCTCTGGACCGCAGGCTGATGCTCTAACCACTGAGCAAAATCTGCCAGGGCAAGTGTTCTTTTTTAAAGGGCTTGATACGCACACATGCACAAGTACACATGTGGTTCAGAAGGGGTCAACTCGATGAAGATGTTGGTTCAATAATGTAACTCAGCTTAGCTCTGTGAACAGCAGAGCCAAGTAAAAGACTTAATTCCTTAAAACAAGTTCAGAGCTGAGTCTGTTGTTTCATCAGACAGAGGGATGAGGGAAGGACGTGGATCAGAACAGTTTGGATGAATGGATGAGGCAGGTGTGCTTCCATATGAACTGTTGTACACTGGACGTGAGGCTGGCCTCGGGGCCGTTGTTCTAAGTGAGTATGGTTAGGGTAAAGGAAATATAATAAATTGCCTTTTTGTTTTCATAGAATAATGGAGTATTTTTAATGAGTTTTAGAGAGAGAGGAAGGGAGAAGGAGAAAGATAGAAATAATAATGTAGGTTGGAAGCATCGATTGGCTGCCTCCTGCACACCCAGCACTGGGGACTGAGCCTGATATCCAGTCATGTGCCCTGACCAGGAATTGAACCTGCAACCTCTTGGTGCATGGGTTGACGCTCAACCACTGAGCTACACTGGCTGGGCAATAGTGTTACTTTTTTTTTTTTCCCCTTTGATTTTTGAGAGAGAGGGAAGGAGCGGGAGAGAGAGAGATAGAAACATTGATTGGCTGCCTCCTGCATGCCCCCCACTGGGAATCAGGCCCACAATCTGGGCATGTGCCCTGACCGGGAATCCAACCAGTGACCTCTTTTTGCATGAGTCAGTGCTCAACCACTGAGCCACACCAGCTGGGCTGGAGTGTTACTTCTGTTGTCTGTCTTTTCCAAACCAAATTAAGGGGCCTAAATTGGAGAAATAATCACTCTGTGATTCTCAAGTGCCATTGTTTTATTTTTTCTTTTGATGCAGTTAGCTGACTTGGTCAGTGAGTCTTGAATCGGATGTTTACTTTTTCATGTCCAGTTAAATCAAAAGTCTAGCTTTTGGGTAAAATTATTTTTCTATTTGTGGATACTTCATCTGTCAGCAGGAAATGGCACAAAGAAACTACTTACCAGCAGTTCTTTTTTACTAGATATTAAGCTTTTAAATAATACTTTTATTATGTAAATGTCAGACACTAGTTAACATGAATTTAAAAACCAAAAGAAGGCCCTGGCCAGTTTTCTCAGTGGTTAGAGCATTGGCCTGTGGACCAAAGAGTCGTGGGTTCAGTTCCAGTCAAGGGCATGTACCTCGGTTGCAGTTCAATCCCTGGCCCTGTTCGGCGTAGTGTGGGAGGCAACCAATTGATGTATCTCTCTCATATTGATGTTTCATTTGCGCGCGCGCGCTCTCTCTCTCTCTCTCTCTCCCCCTCTCCCACCCCCCCTCCCTCTCACTCTGTCTGAAAATAAATGCAAAAGTATCCTTGGGTTAGGATTAAAAAAAAAAAAACTATCATCAAAAAATAAATCCCAAAAGAAGGTTTTCCCCGAGAATAAGAATTGTATTAAGCTTAGTAAACATGATGTGCCTTAACTTTCAAAAGTCAGACAGTTCTTTTTTAATATGTTATTTCCATGAGAACTTTTTTCTTTTGGACTCATGAAACTGTTTTTGTTTGTTTGTTTTTCTGGTAAAGAAACATTTTTCTGCCCTGGCCGGTTTGGCTCAGTGGTTAGAGCGTCGACCTGCGGTCCTGAGAGGCCCGGGTTCGGTTCCCGCTAAGGGCGCTTACCTCGGTTGCAGTTTGTCCCCGACCCTGGTTGGTCGTGCGGTGGCGGCCACTCGATGTGTCCCTTTCACATCGATGTTTCTCTCTCTCTCTCTTCCTCTCTCTCCCTCCCACTCTATCTGTACAAAAAATGGAAAGGTGTCCTCAGGTGAGGATTAAAAAAAAAAAAAGAATTTTTCTTTGCGAAAACAAGTGCTTCTATTTTCTACAAAGGAAGTTTTTTCTTGGATTTCTGTTCTAGTCTCTTATTTTGAAAGTGTCAGGTGACTCCTGAGTTTGCAGGGCCACCTGACTGGTGCATGAGCTGTTGGCAGGGTCTCCAGGGCTGGGGATAGCTGGGGCCTCCGTTCACCAGCGACGGGAAAGCCCTCGGAACTCAGCGGATCTCAGACAGAGCGTGTGTACCCAGTCTCAGCCTGGCACACAGCAGGTGCTTGAATGCTTGTCAGAAAGAATCAAGCTGCTGAACCGTGATTTTAATAAATAGATATGAATTTTAGTCGCCCCTGTGTTAAAATGTAGAAGATATGCTGTGACCTGAGTCATGATCGTTTTCCAAAACCCACTGGTGCTGAGACAAGCAGCGGAGATTGTTTGAATCAGTAAAAAAAAATTATAATAATTATAATTATTACACGTGATATTAGGAGGGGTTTACGTGCTTTGAGAACTCAGTTTTTGAAGTTTGAAAAAATTTGCCTAATTGAGTTGTCATAGTGTATGAGAATCCTTTGTAATTAGCATATTAAATGCCATAGAATATATTGCTTAAATGATTTTTTAAGGGCTAAAAAGTTTGTTATCTAGCCCTATGATTCCATTTATAACATCAGTTTGGTTAGAAAGCAGTTTTACTGCTAGTCTGGCCAAGACTAAAATATTACAGGTTTCAAATCGGTAATACAAGTCAAATGACATTTTATGTGTTAGAAACTTCAGTATCTGCTTAAGAATTTTCTTGCCCTGGCTGGTGTGTTTTAGTGGTTAGGGCATCAGCCCCCTCACATGGAAGGGTCTTGGGTTCAATTTCTGATCAAGGGCATGTATGTACCTGGGCTGCATATTTGATCCCCTGCCCCAGTTGGGGTGCGTGCAGGAGGCAACCACTCCATGTGTCTCTCTCACATCGATGTTTCTCTCTCTCCCTCCTTCCCACCTTCCCTCCCTTCTACTTGCTTTAAAAATCAGTGGAAAAAATATCCTCAAGTAAGGATTTAGAAAAAATTTTTTTTTCTTAAGGCATTTTTTTCATAGTTAAAATTACTTAAAACTTAAAGGCTGTCCCTGAACACCTGACGCAGGGAATACCCTGGCGGCGTCTCCCCCTTCTGGCAGACACCCTGCTCAGTGAGGGCCCTGAACGAGCCGGAGCATGTGCTGTTTCTTAGACCTGTGCTGCCACCCAGGCCAGTCAGCGCTCCAGGAATGTGGGTTGGGATCAGGGTTCTTCTTAGAGTTAGGAGGCTTCCAGGCTGAACGACACTGACACGGATCAGTGTGGCCCCTCCCACCCCCATCGTGCAGGATTCCAGGGTGTTTGGAAGAGTTCTGTCCAACTTTAGAGGCGCTTGTGGTTGCGGCTATTCGTGCCCTTCTGTGGCTCCAGGACAAATTGGCACATCGTATTGGGAGCCTTGTTCACAGAGAGATAATCACGGATGGGGTGGAAGACTGGCTGAGAGCTGAACAAAGGAGCAGATAAGTAACTTTTTAATGGGTGCTGCCCTGGGGAAGGGCTCACCAAAGGAACAACAGAACAGCCTCTGCCAGCACGGCTGTCCAGGAGAAAGATGCCCCTCC